GAATTGCTCCATCGTTTTCGTTTTAAGATATGATAGCCCAAACTTTCATACCTTGTGACTTTAGGCGAGGCTCTCTTCTCCCGAAGTAGCGGCCAGAGTCTTTAAACACCAGAGACTAGATAGCAGTTTGTATGCAACAAATAGAGCCTAACAAATGTAAGCTAAACTGTTTAAAAGTCGAGAAAAACTAAAGCTTTCTTCACCACTTATGGCCACGTGCCACCATTACTGTGTGTGGGGGTGGAGCATGGCTTAATTGAGCCACACCTTGATTGCAGCCACACCTTTACATTGCTGCAGCTAGCATGCAGCAGTGCAGCAAACATGCTGGAGCTTCTTCTCTGTCTAAAAATACAAATCAATCTCTGTCTCAAAACATTCACTAAGTTTTACTAAATCTAGTACATGCTGTATCTTATTCTCAGTCTCAAAACTTTCACTATTTTCTCTTAATTTGTTAAAACTGTTACATACACAGGGCCGTAGCCAGGAACTTGAAATAGGGGGTTCGGAAATTGCTGCGCGCGAAGCGCGCAGCGAAAATTTTGGCGAAAATGGGCGTGGTTGGTAGGCGTGGCCTTAATTTACGCATCTCAGCTATGTGCTGACTCAGCTAAAATGGCTATCTGTGCTTCTCGCGGTTGCCAAAATGCTAATCCTGCTTTTGCAGTGCTGTTCTTCATGACAGGAGCTAATCTAAAACTTTTTTGCAGCTACAACAGGGGGTTCGTCCGAACCCCCCGAACCCCCCCTGGCTACGGGCCTGATACATATTGTGGCGAGGGTACGCACTTTAGTGCTCTCGTTTAGTAATACAATCTATGCCAAAAGCATAGATTGTATTACTAAGTAACAGGGATTGGAAACTGATGACGTCACACGGACAAACTCTGTAATGGTGGGAAAGCAATGGAAGGACTACACAAGCTCTTCTCCTAGTCTCCAACTGTATTAATTTGAATTTTATTTACTATCGATGATGAACAGATAGGTCTTGGGAGTTCATGACTGTTCTTTGTGACGGTTAAGCATAGTTTTGTTGACAGAATCTTCGCCGCCTCTCGCGGCCGGGCCATGTTATCATTGAAATTGCCTTTGTGATGGCACAAATTAACGAATACAGCTATTATTTTTCCAAAGTGCCGTCTGTGGCTTATATAATAGGCTAAAGGCATGTGAAAAACCCTGATCTTTGTTACAGTTTTTGTCCTTTATCCTAATTTTACTTACTTTTTGTGATATAGGTTGAACAGATACGCCTCTAAAAACAGACCTTTTGGGATCTTATGCTCTGTATGAAGCACTAGTGATAATGAAAGTGTTTTAGTGGCACGTAGCTTTACTTGATGCATGTTTTTTATATTGACACTCTCTCAGTTTTAGTTACCCTTAGCAAGTTATAGGTTGAATAGATTTCACACCTATTACGCATGGTTAAAAAGCATGGTTTTTCTCATTTTTCTTCAAAATAAAGTGCTGTATTACAGCTTTAACAGTTTCTGATAAGTAAGCAAACCTTCAGCAACAATATAAGCTATATAACTGCCCTGAATCTGGCTTCAAGCTACACTTAATCCAGTAGTCCTCTCAGTCATATTGCTCTTGTCTCAACGAGCCGGGGAAGGGGCAGAGTCTTACAAGGTTCGTCCGCACCTGCTTTCATTAATTTGAATGAGATCACGTGATCTGTTTCCTATCCCTGTTACTTAGTAATACAATCTATGCCATATTCCTAGATACGCCCCTGTATTGGAAAGCTCATACAGTCAGTTTTGTTCTTAGTCAGTTTGTTAATAATAATAAAATCATAGATGTTCGGTGTAAGCCCACGTGATATCACTTGCATAACATTTTAAGGCGTGGTTTTAAATTTAATGAAATTCATGAATCATGAATAATAATTAAGAACGAAAGTAAGTCCATACCGGTAGATATCTATGGCTAAGCCATGGCTTGTTCTTCGGCTCTTTGAGCTTCTTTCCCTTGCTGTCCTTATCCTATTATTATTGGTTGCTAGTAATGAAGGAGCAACAGGAGGAGGAGTATGTACTGAAGGATTCATGGACTTGAGTTTACTAGTAGCTAAAGCAGCTCCTGTTACTCCATCAACCGTCAATCCTTTTGCTGACAACAATGCGAGAAGATGGATCATTAGTTATAAGTCATTCAATTGTAGTACTGCTGCTGTAACAGAAGTTTTTCTTGGAGTTGATATCAGATCAAAGGATGGTAATAGGAACAAATATCTTAACATTGACATATGGCAATACAATGATAATAACTATCGTTACCAAAATCCTGTCCCTATTCCTATTGTACTGTCTCCTGATAATGTCACTACTAATGGATTATATCGTTATGTTCTTCCTACTCCTTTTAGTGTCAGTGGCAGTAATTATGATACTTACAGACTAGGAGTGTATCAACCTGAAGATGATTCAAGTGTTGTTAGATTATATAGAGCAAGAACTAGCAGCACAGAAACAGTTGGAAGAATAAGAGCAGACTCCATTAGTGAATCGAATATTAGAATAACTGGTGATAATAGAGAAATTGATTTTGATGATGATGTAACAAACATTTTTATGGTACATCTCAGAACAAGTATGTAGCTGCATTTATTAATAATAAAAACAATTATTATTATTTTATAGATCCACCATACTGCTTTGAAAATGTTTTCACCGAAGCTGAAATTAATACAAACAGTCTATCAGTTACTAATGTAATACCAGTCAATGATACAAGAGCTTTTCCTAATATACGGTTCACATGTAATGGTATTATTACTAACTGGATAATTGGTATTACACAGAATCAGGATACAAGCAAACATTATCCTAACATTTATTTAAAACGTTCTTCTAAACTGATTTATGCACTAACTGTTGATGCTTCTGCTGCTACATCAAGTAATGGTAATGTATATAACTTTACAAGTGATATTGAAGTAGAGTATGGAGATATGTTAGTAATCAATGTAACCACTAATAGTAATCCAATGTATTATCAACAATATAATGGACCATTGAATTATGAGCTTGATAGCAGTAATGGACTAATACCATTGGAACATAATGACTATCCACTGATATCAGTTATAATAAGTAAGCATATCTTTATAATTGCGATGTTTATTGTTTCTATTATAGACCCAATTTCTTCAGGTACTTCCACAACTTTTAGTAAAGAAATGGATACTGTTGCTACAATGACCATATTACAATCCTCCTCCACTGTAATGACCAATAACTACATTCCAAACTCATTCACCAGCTTACGTGACACTACCTTATTGAGCACTACCAATTTCTTGTTAACCATTGCCTCAGTTAATCTCAATAGTCCCTCTCCATCATCATCTATTACTGATTCATCTGTCACAAGAAGTAGTGGACCAACAGTTGGTAATGCAGGAGGTGGCAACTCAGCTTCAATGATAGCTGCTGTTGCTACTACAATATTAGTATTACTTATAATTAGTATCATAGTGATATTAATATTGATAGTAATAGTATATAAAAAAAGAAACAAAGCGTCACACATTTCTGAAGGTCGTGATGCTTTTCTTGCTAGTTCTGTTTATTCTGATGTCACTCCAAATGGAAAAGGAGAAAATGAGATACATGATATGTGTAATCCAAATTACCAAGCACAAGGTAATTTGTCATGCATAATCACTATTATTCAATAAGTATGCAAGCTTGTTAATATTTGCTCTAGCAAACATATAGATCATTCTATGTCATAAAAAATTTCTATTCTCTCCCCTTATAAACAGGTGCAGCTGATGTTTATGAAGTGCCAATGCCAGTGATGAAAGGAATAGAAGCAGTTTATGGTGATACAATGACTGATGTCAGTAATCCAAATTATGAAGATCCCAATGAAAAAAGTACACCATGTTTTAATAGAATGCGTAACCAATTATATTTATTTAGGTAGTGTTCCATTATTGTATGAAGAACCAATAGCGACCCTAACCAAGAAGCAAAATGTAATCAATTATTATGTGTAACCATTTCATGCATGCACAGTGGAATGAAAGACAATAAACATGATTTTAAACAACATTTATATGCATGACATAACATTCACCAATTTTAGAACATAAGTGACGTAACCGTCACATGATTAACAAACACTTTCAGTTTATGTTTTATACTTTCCTAACAGGATACTGAATTTTCTAATGAACTGTATGGACTATTGGAGGAAGCAACACTATATGTACCCACTGCAGTATGTACTGAATATATCTTAATAATTATGTTTTAATTAATGTTATTAATAGTTAGAACGTTCTGGAGAACAAAGTGAAGAAATCTATTCTGCACTGATACATGAACAGGTATCGACTGTGTCATGTAATTATAGTAATTATAATTTATATTTTTATGTCATAGTATTCATCTGCAAATTCAACACTTGATCATACTGGTGGTAATGCATTCTTTATAGAAGATACTGAGTACTGGGAACCTGATAGTAATACTGATGGTATATACCAACAATTATCTGATAGG